GTATATGCATCTCTTTCTACATATATGCATCTTTCTCTCTCTGTTGTGAGTAAAAGTCCTGGTGCGTGTGCATTTGATTGACAGCCCTGTGACCTGCAGTGGCACAAGATTGAAGCAATGTCCAAATGGAGATTGTCTGTGGAGCTGTAAAGAAAAGAACGATGGAGGTTAACAATCCGACCACAGAGAATCCTCTTAACCTGAGCAGAGCGGCTGATGTGAACTGTGCGCCCTCTGCATCTCTTCAGATTATAACAGAGTGGAGCTATAATCCACGTTGTTTACTGTTAGGGAGAAGGACTATAGAACCAGAGCCAATGGGGGATTTTAGCGTGCACGAAACAGTCAAGAATATTATGCTAAACGTTCATTCATAATCCACATATACATTTTCTTCATACTGTTTTTATTTCACCCAGATGGTCTGTCTGCTGCTTGTCTTAATGTAGATTCTGCTTTGCCCAGAGCTCAAACATGTAAAATATGTGGACTGATACACAGTATGTCCAGGTTTTTCAGTTCCAATGCAAACATCGAAACAGCATAAGGTAAACATATCCAAATGTGTTTTGTCACTACAGAACAGATTTGCAAAAATACAAGTTTAATGTTATGAATGTTTTTGGGCCAACACTGACCTGTAAATCATCTTATTACACCAGTGTATAGACTAAAATGGAATACTGGCCGAACCGATATCTTGGCAGTCTGTATCCGATCCACTAAAATGTTCAATGTTGATGCACATATCGGACCAGTATTGTATCGGTGCATCCCTATGTACATCCACATTTACAATGGTTATAGATCGTCATTTAGTTTCAGTAACACTTTATTTTAGGGTATACTTATTAACATTAAACACCTGCCAAGCCTGCTAATTAGCACAGTTGTAAATGGTTAATTTGTCATTAATTAGTATTTATTCAGCCTTATCAGTGTCTAATTCCCCATAAGCTTATTGTGCTATTAGTTAGACATTTACACTTTCCTATTAATACACCATTTTTGTGTATGACTTATGATTTTAATAAGCTGGTGTTGTTAAAGACTAGTACCACAAGAAATGTACTTTTTACTTATTTGCGCCCAAACCTTATTAGACTCATAATTCATGGACAAAAACAACCTACTATCATATTAATAAGCAGTAATAAGGAGTGTAAGGAGCGCTTTGTGTTGCATTTTTTGTATGAAAAGTGCTCTAAAAATAAAGTTTGATTGATTGATATTCATAGGAAAGTGTTTGTAAATGTCTAACTAACAGCAGAATAAGATTATGGGGAATTAGAGATTAATAAGAGATGAATAAATACTAATTAATGACAAATTAACCATTTACAACTATGCTAATTAGTGTACCCTAAAATAAAGTTACCTTAGTTTCAGGGATGTAACAATAATCGTATCATCAAAGTTCTCACAATGATATCGTGGACCTGGACAATATATTGAATTACAAGTCTTTTTGCTTACATTAAAGGGCCCATCTCATGCAAAATCAACTTTTCACAGCTTTCTACCTTCTAAGAGAGATGTATAGGCCTTGTATATGTAGCCGAAATGTTTTTTACATTGATTTGGCATTTTTTAAACAAAATTGCAGCGTATTTCTGCCACCCTCCCACGTGACAACGAACTAAAGCTGCTACAACGATGACATGGCCAGCTACACCTATGACGCGTTTGACATAGCAGAAAGCACCTCGCACCCGCCCCCCTCATTGTATTGTTCTACACTGCAGTGAACACGATATAAGTTTATCTACTAGCATTTATTAATACTTTACCAATCAGTAATGTTCAGCTGATGTCGACGCGGTGCTTGTGCTTCGTGCACCTCAAAGTCCTCATCCCATTCCGGGTCCAACACATGTGGCTGAACGCGCTCTGTCACCATGATGAATAAAAGTTTATTCCTACCACTATCAGGGTGCACGTCTGTCTCCCCCTCCCTCCCTGAGATGAGCGGAGGAAAGGCGGCTCACTCAGAGCCTATGTCAAGTTTGGAGGGCGGAGCCTGTGTTTTCTCAGGAAGAGCGGGGGGGATGAGCAATAGTCGGTCTTTCATAGTCCCTGGTCTGTGATGCCTCCAAGAAATCAGTAAGATTTTATTACTATTGTGTAATGGATGTTCCAAAACCCAAATTGTGCTTGTTTATGTGCAGAAGATACAATGTGAAAAGAGTTATTTTACATGAGATGGGCCCTGTAAGAGTTATGGTGCAGCAATTGCTAAAAAAAAAAAATAAAAAAAAAAAAAAAAAGGGGAACTACATAGACCACGATCCTTTGCTCCATTTCAGTGCAGACTACAAGAAGAAATAACAGTTCTAAGCACTTTTAAATCTTAGTTCTTTGGATTAAGTCTTGTCAAGGCATTTTAAGAGGGAAAAGCAGAGTATTAACAGTTTTATCTGTTTAGCCTAAACAAAATATCGCAATAAATATCGTACCATGAGATGTATATCGTGAAAATATCGTACAGAGAGATTTGGATATTGTTACATCCCTAATCGTGAGCCTTCCCATCATATCATGAGCTTTTCCCACGATATCGCAATAAATATCGTACCGTGAGGTTCATACCTTGACAATATCGTATCGTAAGACTTGGTTTCATACATTGCTGTTGTTAAAAATAATGATAATAAACTTAGAGGAACCTGACACTGCACACACAAAAATCATGCAGTAATGTTCACAAATCCTAAGAGCAGATTGCGTTATATTAAACTGACTACTCACAGTTTTCCTTCTTGTCAGGCGTATGATTTACCCGCTGTATTATGAGACAGATTCTGCTTTCTCAAATGTTTCTTGTCTGGCCTCAGAATATTTTGTGATGACAGTACACTTTGGATGCACGCGGCTCCTCTCTGGCTGTCACCTTTAATATAGACTGCTTAAGCTGAGTGCCGCCTGGGCCTGTATTAAATGTCCTCCACAGATTCCTGCATTTTTTGCTGAGTGAGATGACAGACTTTATCCCCTATAAACCCCCTGCACTCCCTCACTGTGATGAAGTGCCCTCTGTTAGTGCGGCACCTTCTATATACAGACTTTAATATCTCACCTGAGTTAATGGGCCCATATTACACTATTTCCTGATCTATGTTATAATGTCTCCTGTGTTTTTAACCTTCACTAGAATCATTTGGATGATTTCAGACCTGGGATCTCTCCTGAACTAATTTTTGATCTTTGGAGATGTAGACAGACCAATAATAAAGGAGTACTTAAAACTATTTCTCATTTTTAAGTCAGTAAAAATGTGGTGCAGTGCCTTCAACAGAATCAGTGTTAGTAGTAGGTCTCATTACTCTGTTTGAAATGAGCAGTCAATACAGTTTGTGCGAAGAAGCACTTTTGGAGGCATTATAATGATGTTGTACAGTTGCACGAGAGCCTTGGCGAGGTTTGTAATTCAGAACGTGCCAAGGTTAACAAAGTGAACATAAATAATATAAGGCTAGACTGATTTACCTTGCAGCATTAGGATTTGTTCACTCCACGATAGGTACTACGGTACTTTTTAAATTTAAACAGTCGCTGCTATTTGGTCGTGAGGTATGTAATGCGCTGAATCCCATAGGAAGAAGGGCAATAACGTCTTTCCCCTTGATAAACTTCACCAAACATTCTCTTTGTTCCGGCTTTAAATCCTCGATCTCGGGAATCGTTGACAACACAGAATGTATGACTTCATCTACATCCATCTGGACCACTTTGTTTACTGTTGTGTTGTACCACAAAAGGGACCCAGACAGACGCTTGAGTTTGACGTCATGGCTTCACAGCTCTTCACTGATTGGCCTGTGCGCAGTCTACAACTTCAAGGGTTTTTGTGAACTGTCTAGTGTTTTCCAATTCCTGATCTAGTCACTGGAGACAAATGAGATTGAGCGGAGGCACTAGGTGGCGCCAGTCTGGTTAATATAAGGCGTGCCTCTGCATCATTTTTTTCTCATGCATTTCAGCAAAATTTGTCTTGCCCCATTACAGACGTAGCTTTTTGTACAAGTCAAAATAAGCCTGTTGTGTGCTGCCTGCATCTTATTATAAAGTCAAAAAGATCAAAAAGCTGGAAGTGCTTAACCCTCTCCAGGCAGGCGTTGCAGATTTGCAACAGCTAAATTCTAAGTACCTACTTACTCTACATCCATATTATATGAGCTTTTTTTACTCAGGAGCCTTTTCTCCCATCCATGCTGATAAACGTGGGCAATGCAGACTGTGCAAGAATGGCTACACGCAAACGGCCTGCCAGAAGTGCAAAATACTTTTTTTGTTTACAAAGGATAAAAAAGTCAGAATTGTATATTATTACCCCATATTATAATTTTCCCCAAATATCAGATTTTTCCTGATACTAAAAATTAATTTGAGACTGAGAGGGTTAATTAAATGCTTCAAACAGGAAACAACATAGCTACCATACTTCTAATGCCAGTATACCATTTGCTTATACCATGCACTAGTTGCAAGTGCATATGACAGGTGAGACTACTAATTTCACTAAAACATAGTTAACAGGCTTATTTTTAAGGTTTTACCAAAAAATTTTAAATGATTAATTATTTTAGTAATAATTTTACTAAAAATTATTACAAAAAAAAACATTAAAAATCTTGGTCAAGTTTTATAATAAAAATCATAATGTTCTAAGGGCCAAAACATGTCTAAATTGCACAATAGGTGAGATTATACAAATAAAATGAAATTGCAAGACCTTTATTTTATTAAATGAATGTTAACACTGTATGAATATTTCAATATTTCATTTTAGAACACATTACTACCGTTGTTTTTTTTTTTTTTTTTCATCACAGACTGCACTTAAGTGATGTGAAACTATGAAACTCCCACCAAACAAATTAGAAATTAAAAAAACATGAAAATCTGCCAAGTGTGTTTTGATTATCCAACTACACAAAGCAAACACACAAAGCATCTCCTGTAATCATTTTTCTTCTTCTTCTTCTCTTGTTTTGGAACAGCTGTGATCTCCAGGAGCCACGAGGGTCCGGGCGAGATGGGCAAAGCCGTCAACATCCCCAAAGACGAGCACGAGAAGATGAAGGACCTGTTCAAAATAAACCAGTTTAACCTGATGGCCAGTGACATGATCGCTCTCAACAGGAGTCTCCCAGACGTCAGGCTGGATGGGTGCGTTTGGGTGCTCTTCACTGTTACCATGACAACTACACAACAAATCAGCTGACACACTAGAGCAACAACTGTCTGTACGTCCTTGAGTTTTCAATGGAGCTATACAGAATCAATAGGGAAACATGATTGTGTAAGATTAATTAAATGTTTTTTTATTCCAGTATGAGACCTAATGGGACCAGATTTTTTTTTGATAAGAGGAAAAACATATTAAAAGCCCAGTGAAGTCAATTAATCTATCATAATATACTGCAGGCCTTTTGGAAATGATTTAATATTAATCACTCAGTCAATTGTGGTTGGTCAATCTTAGATCCTTAAACTGTGCTTTACTGTGGACTGATGAACTGTAATTACCTTGTGCTATTAATGTGTTCTGTCTTTATGGCCTATATTTCTTAGCCAGGCTGGTGCCACATAGTGCCTCTGCTCAATTTCATTTCTCTCCAGCAACTAGGTCAGGAATCAGAATACACTAGACGGTTTGCAAGAACCCCGGAAGTGTGAGTTCGGGCACCAGCCAATCAGTGAAGAGCCATACATTCTGTGTTGGCAACGATTCCCGAGATCAGGGATTTAAAGCCGGAACAAAGAGAATGTTTGAACTTTATCAAGGGGAAAGATGTTATTGCCCTTCTTCCTACGGGATTTGGGAAAAGCTTAATACACCAGTTAGCCCCGTTAGCAGCGCTTTATATATACGTCACGACCAAATAGCAGCGATTGGGTAAATGAAGAAAAGTACCCGCCTACTGTCAAGCAAACAAATCTTAACACTGGGAGGTCAGACAGTTTCTACAAAGTGAAACCGACTGATGAATCAGACTAGATATTTGTATGTGTTGCACAGCACTAATGAAATGGGTTAATGGCCCAAGAACAAATTTCTCAGTGGGACAATAAACTTAATCTTCAATCTTAAATCGTAAGAAAGATAAAATATTTTCTGTTGCAATATGGCACAATGTATTTGTTTCTCAAGAAATACATAACTACTGTAAATAATTGTGAGAGAAACATACTTCGTGTAGAACTTTTTTAGCCCACAAATGGACTAGTTAAAAAGTCTGGTTGTTTTTATTGCACTGAAAAACATGCGTCCTTACTGTGAGTGGGCTTGCATCTCCACAGACTTGATTCTTACTTGGCCTGGAGGAGGGCCTCCTACTGTTTGTTTCCATCAAAATGTTGTTCCTTTGGCTATAATCTTCCACAGTACAGCATAAAACTTCACGGAGAATGTTCCAAAGTATGATTTAACTATTTCCATGGAGTCATACAGGGGACATGTCACCTGCAGAAAGCTTTATACTGTTAAGTCTGTCATTTATGTAAGTGAAAGTAGTTGTTAGAGTTTAGATTATTCCTCTAATGCAGACATGTCAAACTCAACCCCGGGAGCCCAAATTTCACCTGCAATATAATTATATTTGACCCGTGAGATCATATCAAATATATATTCGAGCTGACCCGCGGCTACAGATAGACTATAGACACATTATTTATTTAGATTTAGACTTTTTAATATTGTGCTTATTCTAGATTTACTGGATATTTAAGCAAAACTATTACTAAACATTTATTTTAATATCTTGAAAGAAGAGAAAACATGCAGACGTTGTTGAAATTTTTCAGTAAGCATTGAGTTTGGCCCACGACTTGGTCCCACTTTTTAATTTCAGCCCTTTGTCAATTTGAGTTTGACACCCCTGCTCTCTTGTTTAATTCATACACAATTTACAGCATTGTTTCTTTTAACTCTGGTGCCCCCTACAAATCAAATAGAATAATTGAAGAATATTACTAAACCTTTATTTTCTTACACTTTCTGTGAAAAATCTGTGCTCTTGCTCTGAAGGCTGTGGCTCTGTGTCCCGGGGGCGTCCTGCTGGCCTAGTTATGTCCGTCACTGCTGTCTTCTTGAATAGACAGGGCTCCGCTCGCACCGCTGTCTGCCCTCATGGCTTCACCCTCCATCACCCCTCTCTCCTTCCCTCCCTCTCTCTCGCTCTTTCTCTCTTCCTCTCTCCCTCGACCGAGTCTCCTCCGCTCCCTCAGGCCACCCACCTACAGGCACTCACAAAGCACTCTATATTCACCTCTGTCCCACATACCGCCGCGCTCGTCCTCTGCTCTTTTGACAGACAGCCCATCAGGTCCGGGGACACGCTGGCTCTCCTGTCAACTTTATTTTTTTACAGTTTTTTCTTGTCAGATGTTTGTCAGTAAATCTCAGAAGACAGTGTTGTTTTGCGTTGATGGCTTCGCTGGCTGGAGGGAGACTTTTCATAAGATATAATGAGAGAGATGGAGGATTGGGGAAGAGCTGTCAGTGGAGCATGAAATGTATACACGAAATCAGACTAGACTACAACGCATAAGCAGTTAATGCTATATATTTTTGTACTTTATTATTGTTGGTAATCTCATAGGACTCGATTGTACAAGTGCTTATATCATTACAAACCCTGAAATTACTACTAGATTTATGTAGAAACGCTGAAGGTGGAGAGGGTCTGATAAAGATTTTTTGCCAATTGCAATATTTGTCATTCCATTTTTTTCTTTGTGAATTTTCTTGGCACAACTGGACATCATAGACGGCGACTAGTTTCACTTCATTTTTTGATTTTTTGATTTATGATTGAAACTTTGCAGTGCACATTTCTCTCTGGGGGTGTTCCACATTTAACTCTACGGCAGAATGTTCATCCACGCCATGGAGACGCATCAAAAATTCAATTAATTGCACACTAAGGCTGTGCATTTAATTGAAATTTGATTGTGATTTGGATTTGTGAGTCAAAGGATCTCCAAACTCACAAATAATCGAGTCAAAAAAATGTATGAGGCCTGAAGTTTTGCGAGGAATCACGTGGTTAAATTTAGACATAATAGAACAGTTGGATATATAGTTTTTTTTGGATACATTTACATTTTCTGTGCCTTATTTCATGTTCAAAGTATATTTTATTCATTTTATGTTTTATACATCGCAAAACTGCTCTAAGGTACATATTTGTAGCCTTTAATTATTTTCAGTTGGAAAGTCTTGTGTAAATTATCAATAATAAAGTGCATTTTTTTGACAGACAAATGCTGAATAAATGCATTGTGTAACTAAACGTTTGAATAATCTTGATTTCAGTATTGACCAAAATAATCGTGATAATGATTTTTTCCATAATTGAGCAGCCCTAATGCACACATTAGCACACTGCGAGAATTGTTTTAAGATGGTTTGAAAACTCAAGAAATAAGGAGCCTGTGATTAGTGTTCATGGTCCTTTTGTAGGTGTTTCATTTTCAACAAAAAACTGAAAAACTGTTGACAAATACTAGCCAGCTTGTAATTTTATGTGAGAGACTTGTTTAAGAGCACAAATCAGATCACCTCTTGTAGTTCCAGCTAAATCAGTTCTTTCTGGTCAGATTGTGTTAAAATAAAGCTCAGATTAAAGTTTAGTCTGAGTAACGGTAACAAATTTGACCAAACTGTGCTTGTGCTTTTGCTTGGACAGTAAGAGCAAACTAGATGAAACCCTTATTCAAGACTCAAGGATGAACCCTAATCTTAAAGGTGCACTGTGTAACTTTTCGGCTGGCGCTCCCTCACCTGCTTGTTTCTATGGAGATATCATTGCTCTGCCTGGAATGCTCCACAGTATGACATTAAACCGCTCTACTTTACATTTATTCAATTATAGGTACATTTATAGCTCAAAAAATACCTACAAAAACAGGCATTCTGACTGAACGAATTTGCTTCTCCACAGATCTGACCTGTAGCTTGGTCTGGTTTGGTCTCCATGAAGATATAAAGGTTTAATGCCATACTGCGAAACATCTCCAAGCATTTTATGGACCCACCACTAGAAAAGTTACACAATGCACCTTTCAAAATAAAATTATAATTACTCACAATTAATTTTCTTTGATTTTACATTGGAACTTTAAACAGAACTGTCAAATAAAATGAGATAGAAAAGGACTAGGTGATAAGTGATAGGTGATAGGTAGATAGAAAAGTGACTAGGATTTGATCATTTTCTCAGTTGCAAATGCTGTAATATTTCACCTTTTTTTTTTTTTTTTTTGTTCTTGTGGCTGTGGAAGATGGCGCCCTGCCATTTATGTCTGAGCAAATTCAAAAGACTTTCTTACTGATTATATAGTGCACTGAAGTATGTTTTCATCCACATATGTTCTGAGTACACAGTTCAGCTTCAATCTGGATCCCAAAGTCCTTATTAAGCTTAAGACTGAGCTTGTGTGATTGTGGGTTTAGAGATCCTGTATTTTCTGCTTAGGTCCTCATCAGCAGTAAGTAGAAGTATAGTATCTAATATCATATAATTGTGCTGGTAATTTTATGGTTAGGGGGCTTGAAACCAGTAATTGACTCCTTTGTGCTCAGAATGGATCAGGACATAGACTGTATATATAAATGTACATGGGTTAACCCACTGTGATACAAACAGGTCACCCCTCTGTCTGTAGCTGCTGCTGTGAGCCTTGTCATTTTCGGTCTGAAAATGTTAATATTAACCTGCTCTATATGGTCCTGGTGTTTTTATGTCATTATTTAGTCCGTGAATACAGTAAATTCCTATTCCTAATATGGACCTGGCTCCACATTTGCTCCTATAACTGCCGACCTTATGAGCCTCATTTGACTGGAGCCGATCGTTATGGTTGAAGTCACATTCCCTTAGTCCAGTTCTTTATACAGTTTATGGCAGCAGTTTTCAATAGGGGAGCGCCAAAGAGCCACTGGGGAGTAGAGATGCACAGATGGGCTACTTTTTCATCCGCAACCGCATCACAAAACTCATCATCCGCCCGCTATCTATTCACAACCACAGTTTTTGACCAGTTTTCAAAAACGCACCCGCCCACCATCCGCTCGGTCTCCTCCCAGTTGCTCGGAGTTCAGAGTGTTTTATTTGAGTAGTGAAACCGCCACCCGCCCGAATTTAATTAAAATATTATTTTTTGTCACGTCATCCGCCCGACCTGTGGTTTAGCCGCGGAGTCCACGGCTGTAACTGCTATTAGCGCATCTCTACTGGGGAGGCATGACACACGTGAACTAAACCAGGACTGGACCAGGACTGGACCAGGACTGGACAGGACTGGACCAGGACTGGACCCGGGTAGACTGTCAGGTGAATGCGGGCGAAAGGACCGGCGTAGAGCTACATAGAGCCCTACGGAGTTTAGCACAGCTGTCTCCCAATCCCAATCATCTTTGCAGACACCCTGCTCCACGGGCTTGGGGTTCTGTCGCTGTCTCTCTCAAGTCCAAGATTAGACCTGGTTTAGACCTGGTTTAGACCTGGTTTAGACCTAGTTTAGACCTGGTTTAGACCTAGTTTAGACCTGGTTTAGACCTAGTTTATACCTAGTTTATTCCTGGTGACCTACTGATGTTCAGTGATGTTCAAAGTGGCCTCAATTAGGCCTGCATGAAGTTGGAAATTATTTGCTGTTGTTAAAATCATTTATGAATGCACTTAAAAAATATTTTAAATAAAATGCAATATTAAAACAATATATTATTAATTGTTAAAGAAACTCATCATTGCCAGGAACACAAAAGATGCATTTACTTCAAAGGCCTATGTGGAGTAGGGCAGGCAGATGGGATTTTGGGCAATGGGGTGAGATCGGCTGTCTTTACCTATTCTAAGGGGAGCCTCTAAGGGGAGGCTCACATTCATTCATTTGAAAACCCCTGGACTATGATGCTACCCCACTAAACCAAAACCCCCAAACCATATACACTCAAACTTTGAACTACTCTCTCCAACCTTTTCCAGAAACTGCCCTGACACACATCTGCTTTACGTTAGTAAAAGTAAAGTAAAGTACAATAAAGTCTCTCTTTTCTTTTCTTTAGGTGTAAGACGAAGCTGTACCCGGACGACCTGCCCACCACCAGCATAGTGATCGTGTTTCATAACGAGGCCTGGAGCACGTTACTGCGCACGGTGCACAGTGTGATCAACCGCTCCCCCAGACACCTGCTGATGGAGATCATCCTGGTGGACGACGCCAGTGAGCGAGGTGGGTCTACTGCACTACTACACATTTTTAGATAGACTAGGGCTTCATAAGTGCATTTACTTTAAAGGTCTTATATTGCTTAAAATTTATTCTAAGCTTAAGTCATGCTAGAATATTTTTTCCTCATCCAACACATCCCTGGATTTGTGTTTTGTTTCAATCACATGTGTTCGAGTAATCCTTTATTATTAGTCTGTCTGCAACTCCAAAGCTCAAAATGCTCTCTTCCTCCTTGTGACGTCATGAAGTAGTAGTTTTCAAGTTAACATCTCCTTTTACCTGCAGTAGTTCCGTAGAGATTGGAAATTGCAGCCCTGAAATTTTCCAAATCACACTAGTGAAGGAATATGTAGTTTATAAACACAGTGGAAAACTTCCTGTATTACCACATGACATCACAATGTGGAACAAAAATACAGATTCTTGTTCTAAAACAGTGAACGCTTGGGTCTAGTCACTAATAAAAATGACCAGGATCAACTTTAACGTTTGCATGGCTGTTAAAAATCATATATGGCTGTTAAATATAGTAAGTAGTAGGGATGAAACTATATCCAAATCTCACGATATTTTCGCAATATACATCTCATGGTACAGTATTTATTGCGATATTTTGTGGAGGCTAACAAAATTGTGAATATGCTACTTAAATGCCTTGACAAGACTTAATCTAAAGAACTAAAACTTAGAAGTGCTTAGAAGTGCTGTTTCTTCACGTAGTTTGCACCAAAACGGAGCAAAGGATCATGGTTGATGTAGTTCCCAATGTTTTTTTTAGCTATTGCTGCACCATAACCATGAATTTAAGCAAAGAAAGTTATGGTTCGCTGTATTGTGATATTATTGAGAGACTTTTGATGATATGATATCATGATATTTTGGTTATTGTTACACCCCTTCTATATAGTATATATTTTGCATCTTAAAATTTTGATGATGCCTGGTGTCACAATCCCCAGCCGTATAGCGTCTCCATGGAAACAAATATTATGAATAAATCAGCAGCAAACTATTTGAGTTGAATATGTTAACCTCATATCTGGGGACACACATACATGAGCTATAAACAGACATATACAAAATCAAACTCTTACGTACAGTTCCTTTAAACCCCTCCTCTGTGTGTGTGTGTGTCAGACTTTTTGAAGCAGAAGCTGGAGGCGTATGTGCGTGGTCTGGAGGTGCCGGTGAAGGTGTTGAGGATGGAGCAGAGGTCAGGTCTGATCCGAGCTCGTCTCAGGGGAGCTGCTGCCACCAAAGCTCAGGTCATCACCTTCCTGGACGCTCACTGTGAGTGCACCGTGGGCTGGTTGGAGCCCCTGCTGGCTCGCATCAGAGAGAACAGGTACCACAGCCTCGGCACAACTGTTAAAGAACTGTTTTTCACTGTTAGTGATTTTTTTGTGTGAATATTGACAGTTTCTAGATATGAATTCCTAAAGAGTGAAATACGGTCATCCCTCACTATAACGTGGTTCACCTTTCGCGGCCTCGCTGTTTTGCAGATTTTTTGGAAATTTTTCTGAATGCACATTGTGTTCCTCCCCCCGCGTCCTGATTGGCTGAAGGACTGTAGACCATTGTCAGTCAGTCTCCTCCGTGCCGTGTCTTTTGTACAGTACAGAATGCATTCAGCTTGTTCGAAGTGCTGTATATTTGTAAGTTTTCTCCTTGACAAAACCCACAATATCAACAAAATATTCTGCACCAACAAAGGCTCCTGTGGTCGCGCCCAAAAGGCAGAGGAAGATGTAACAATCGCACAAAAAATTTTACTTCTGGACACGCTGAAGGAAGGTAGAAGTTACGAGGCTGTAGGGCACCATTACGGAATAAATTAATCTTTTGTTCGTTACATAAAGAAGGAGGAAAATAGCATAAGGACGACAGCAGCAATAATTTTAAGAAGGATGCAAAAAGGATCGTAACTGTCCTGCCTGAGAAAAGTGTATAAAATGTCTGTGAGAGCTATGAAAAATGAGAAAGCTCGGATTGCATAAGTTAAGTGAGGAATAACTCTGGACCGCTGCTTAACATGAACTGGTTCTGTTTTTCATATTTTTAAGACAGGTTTTTCTGTTCTGATGCTTTGGCTTTAAGTATCTGCTGATCCCTGACATCAACTGATACTACAGCAGAGACGGAAAAAAAATAATTTACTTTTGTTTAAACACAAGCAGCATACGGCAAACATTATCCAAATGTGTTTTGTAACTACTGAACAGCTTTAAAAAAAAACCACAAGTTTAATATTATGAGATGTTTTGAGCCAACCTTGTCCAGAAAACCACTGCACAGACTAAAATGGGATATTGGCTGAACTAATATCTTGGAATAATATCAAATCCACCAAAATTTGCCAATATCTGATAATATCCAGTAGTGTATCGGTGCAGCCCTACTGACAATTTGTGCGTTATCAAAAACCTGATGATGAAACACCTTCCCACCGTGATGTATGAAAAACATTTGGGTAAATCCTGGTTCTTGATGCAGCTTTACTACTATTTTTACTGTCCTCATTGTATCTCATTGTGCTCTTTTACCCATTTTGAGCCTGAAGCAGTCTTTTGTTAACGTTGTCTCCTCACATTTCACTTGAGTTGCATCATTCAGGGCCCAGGCCAAAATTGAATATTGATGGGGCAGCAAACCTTGAGTTATAATACAGCGTTCAGGCCTGAGTCCGCTGATAGGAAATGATAGGAGGGATTTGTGCTTTCTTTGCAGTCACACAAGAAGACGGCACTTACCGTAGCCTTGAATCTTCAGTGATTTTACCTTTGCATTTTTCGGTTGGTCAGAGAGAAAAACATCGTCAGTGTCAGCAGGTTCACTGGTGAGGTTATTTGAGGTTATAGTTCTGTTTTCAGACTGTTGCTGTTATGAATTTGGTCACTGTTTGTTTCTCTGAGTTCAGATGGGCGTGATTGACAGGTACATTAGACAAAAAAGAAAATCATACCACACCGTATTTTTCAGAGTGCAAGTCACACTTTATTGATGGTTTGGGTGGTCCTGCGACTTATATTCCACGGCGACTTATATATTAAAGTTTTCATGCTGACAGCCGTCTAGCCACCAGCATTTGTGTGCCAGTATTTGCAACTCCTATTACTCCTGTACAACTGTCACTTGACGCTACTGTGCATGTCTCCTGCAGAAAGAGCCACTGTCCTGCCTGTATCATGTCAGTCAATTGCACCATTAATTCTGTACCACTGAAAATTTAAAATGTAAAACAAACTTATAAAAATAACTGAGAAGACTGAACACGAATGCCCCCCAAAACAAAATCATATTTTGTAGATTACAAGCTGCAAGTAGTGAAATATGCAGCCGAAAATGGTAATCGAGCAGCAGAAAGAAAGTTTGGATTGAGCGAGAAACTTTTGTCATCGGGAGGATGCTCCATGCAACTTTCCTGGAAGTCATTGGATGGATCGACAAAACCTGGACTTCAGTGACAACTGAAACCATCCTGTTGGGATTCAGAAAGGCCGGAATAATTCTAACTGGAACTGATGCTTGAGTCTGACGACAGCTACACAGAAGAGGAAACTGCACTCCTTTTACCTGTATAATGTTGTGGAGTTGCTAAGAAGTGACACAGAGCACAAAGAATTCAATGGATTTAGTGATCTGGTGTGAGATGGAGAGTTTGGTAAACTTGTTGTGTTCTGTTGTTTCTGCTATAGTTATCTGAAGAACTGTTAACATGTTTTGTTATTCTATTGTTTTTACTGTAACTTGCCTTTCAAGATGAAATGTTGGGTCCTGGTCTCTGATTTTATAAAATAAATTTCCCCCAAAAAGTGCAACTTATAGTCCAGTGTGACTTATGTTTATTTCTTCTTCGTTGTGCATTTTTTTGGCTGGTGCGACTTATACTGCAGAACGATTTATAGTATGAAAAATACGGTACTTACTTACTATGAACCAGATATGTGAATTGAATACAGTAGATGTATGTACCTTGTTGACATGTTTCTAGCTGCAAGCCATCATTTGACAGTTGTGAAGATGGCTTGCAGCTAGCCGCCAAAACATGTCAACAAGATAATGCATCTCCTACTGTATTGTCTTTAAAAACAACCCAATAAGTTAATGCACAGAAGAGGACAAAATTAATGTTTCTGGAGAAAAAAAAAAATCACATCTTAAAGCACCATAAATTTCTGCAGAATGAGAGTGAAGCACTAAACTCTGTTTTTCTGAAATGATTGAATGTGTTTTTGTTCAAAGTGATGGGTGACTAATGAGCTCCTTTGTTTCACACGTGTCACTGAAAAAAATGTATCTGATTACCGGGGATGGGACAAGATCTCGTGATCTTGTCCACACATGAGCAGTATATGAAGATTTTTACATTTGCCTTGGATAAAAAAGTGGTTAAAGGTGCATTGTGTAACTTTTCTGATGGAGGGTTCATCAGATGCTTTTCTCCATGGAGATGTTACTACTTTGTCTGGAATGTTTTACAGTGTGGTTTTACACCTTTCTACTGTATCTCCATATAGACCAAACCAGACCAAATTACAGGTCAGATGTGTGGAGAGGCAAACCCGCTCACAGTCAGAGTTTTTCTAGGTATTTTTGAGCAATAAAACCACCTGTAATTGAATAAATATAAGATAGAGCTGTTTAATGTCATACTGTGGAACATTCCAAGCAGAGCAATTACATAACCACAAAAACAAGCAAATGATGAACCCTAAAGAAAGTTACACAGTACACCTTTAACTTTGCTGAGTAACTCCTCTTGAGAAGCTGTTATACCAAAAACCAGACTGCAAAACTGTAAAATTAAGTAAAACAAAAATTGTGAAGCACAAGTTGTGAACTGAATGGTGCAATTTATTTATCAAAAAATATATTAAAATTTCATCTCAATCTCATGGACTGAATCTCAACACACGTCTCATCTCATAGACAATGTGTTTCATCCCACGTTTCTGTCTGAATGTGGCTTGGGGCCTGTTGTTCAGACTCACGTCCCTCTGTATAAAAAAAAAAATACAGAGATCATTCTGACCTTGCCTAGCAACAATAAAGGCTCCCTTACCTTAGCGTCCCTCACGTGTACATAAATCAAAATCTATGCTCTAAAAACCATGATAGAATTACTTTTTGGCATACTTCCAGCACTCTCAGTCTCTCAGTATTCATGAGTGTGCATGTGTGTATGTGAAACAGTGTAAAATGAGCAGTGAAAATGTGAATGGCTGTGTGTTGTTATAGCTTTTGTTCCCAAATAAAAGCTCCAGGCATATACAGCTTGACTCACAGTATGTTTTGCTGTTCAGGAGTGCCGTGGTGTGCCCCATCATCGACGTGATCAGTGATGAGACCTTCGAGTACATGGCCGGCTCTGACATGACGTACGGGGGATTCAACTGGAAGCTAAATTTCCGCTGGTACCCTGTGCCCCAGAGAGAGATGGACCGGAGAATGGGCGACCGAACTCTGCCTGTCAGGTAAAAGCAAAGACAACATTTACCACTGATGATGCTGTGTGAAGTGTTGCTATAAACTATACTATAATGAAATATATACTAGTTATTTTGACATGATGTTAAATATTCATAAGAAAACTCATTATGTAGTGATACAGTTTGATTGGACACAAATAGGAAACAGGACATGTTTTTGACTTTGTTTTGTCTGGTTGGCTTACACCCTGTTTGCCAGTGCTCATTCTACTGTATTTGACTGTTCAAACATTTCTCAGACTGTTGTATATTCAGCTGATCTGTGCCTGTCTTCAATCAGGACCATGGACAGCGACAGTCTCTCTTATTCTCCTCAATAATAAAAATAATAATGCACTGGGTTTGTACGGCACTTTTTTGGACACTGAAAGACACTTTATTCAGTGCTTTTTTCATTCACTCCACACTGGGTGGTGGTCTGCTACTGCTGTAGCCACAGATGCCCTGGGGCAGACTGACAGAAGCTCCGACTACCAATAACACACACCTATCACGTGAAGTGCCTTGCTTAAGGACATAACCACAGTTTCTGCCACTGGTGTCCCACTGTGGCACCTGGTATTCCTGGTTGGTACCGGATCGGCCCTGCTGAGCTTCTGAGATCTGACAAGTTGGTATGGACCTTGTAGTTTCACGCTGTTGTCAAATTAAAAACTTGACTTTTATGTTCTCTGTATGCACCGAAATACTCTTTCTTGTTCTTTGTTTTGCAATACACACAATCAAACACAATTAAAATATAGAGGTTCAGATCGTCGGGAGCAGTATCTAAAGCCTCTGAGTGACACTTGATCTTTTAATCACAATTTTTTACAAAGAAGAAAAGGTTAAATACAAAAATGTGCTTCTCACTTTGAAAAGGATTGATCTGTTAGAGCTCATAGGGATGACAGCTCTCTCACTTTATCCCTTGAAGAGCCACTTTGATGTGTGGATCATAATACATCAGTGTCTTGTGCTGCTAATTTGGCGAGCTTGTATCAAAAGAGAAAATCAAAATAAATCAAAAATAGAAACATGTCTCGTACTTCCTTTTTTGTCCAACGAAAGACAAAATTGGCATAATTTGTCATCTGTATGCAAATGACTCGTGGCAACAAACACTGGTCTATACTTAGCACAGATAGAGACTGAATTAAAAAGATGAAAGTAATTACTCCTCAAAGCCCGTATTTCAAAATGCCAAACTAATAGCTGTTTTTCTTTGAATCAGAGTGTCCCGCTGTGTTACTACTAATGTGGTAATAAGCAGTTTGTTGCAGATGTAGTTGTTTTATAGTGTGCATAGTTTTCGTGTTTATCTAGTTATGACTTAGTTTGGTGAGATAGTGCCTGTTGTAAATATTTATCATAGTTTTACATTAGTCAAGTGGAAGTTTATGGAAAGAGACGCTGACAGAGAAAAATCCTGCACTCCGTCTTACTTGCACAATGTGAATTTTATTAAGATGTAGTAATAAAATTCACAATTTGCAAGTAAGATGGTGAGCAGAATTTTTCTCTGTTGATTTTCTCGGGCTGCTCCTTCCCTTCCAATGCACCACTTTCTTGAAATTTATGTGCAAAATTCAAATTCATTCATATAGAAAGAAAAGTTGAAAAGACAAGTATACAAATATAGAAAGTAGCGCTGAGTTTTAACTTACCTTGTGCATTTTCAATATCCTATTTATCACGGTGAGTTTATAATTTCTCTTCACAACTCTCAGAGACCAGAGCAGAGCTTTGCTGTGATGGTAAGGCTAAAAACAACTAGCATGCTAATGGATACTTCCTGACTTGCAGACAGTACACCTTGAGAGTTGCTCAGTATATCTTTACTGGTTTTAGTGAAATTTCCTCATCACAAGCATACCTGGAGTTGTGTTTTGTTTCATTCACACATGTTTAACACACATATTTAGCCTGAGTTCTTCTCTCAAATGAAAAAAAAAAAAAAACTCCACGTTGTGATGTCATGTGTTAATACAGGAAGTGTCCTAATGTGTTTTCAAACTCCACACACCTTGACTAGAATCATCTGGATAATCTCAGCCGTGGAATTGCCAATCTCTCCTGAACAAAAGGTAAAAGGTGGCATCAAGGTTAATGTAAATTGTGCACCGTCCCTGTCTCATTAAATAAATAAAATAAACAAATAAACTACGACTGCATGACATCACAAGGTGGAATGGAGCATTTTGAGCTTTAGAGATGTAGACAAACTAATAATAACAAATTACTCAAACATATGTGAATGAAACAAAACACCAGGCATGTTTTTGATGAGCATTATAGCATCGTTTAAAGCCATTTTGTGTAATATACTGTAGGACCTTTAATGATTTTTATGGTGCTTGCAGGACTCCCACCATGGCAGGAGGATTGTTCTCGATAGACAAGTCATACTTCGAGGAAATTGGCAGCTACGATCCGGGCATGGACATCTGGGGCGGAGAGAACCTGGAGATGTCCTTCAGGGTGAGTCTCACATCATAATGACAGGGCACAGCGGATGAGTCATTTATACCTCAAGGAGCGCTGAGCAGATGTACCACACACACACACACACGAGGAGATCTATTCTTGTTTATTTATTCTCTTATACATGACAATATTGTGTTTTGCATTGTCTGGAATGATACACGCAGTTTACATGGGGTTCAGAATGATGAAAAATGAGGACTGTTGCTGTAGCGATTAACAATTTAAAACAAAATATTATATCTTTTATATGGAGCAAACACGGAGCAGATGTAGCACACACACACGAGGAAATCTGTCCTTGTTTATTTATTCTGTTATACATGGAAATATTGTGTTTGGATTGCCTGGATGATGCACAGTCTGCATGGGGCTCAGAATGATGAAAAATTAGAACCGTTGTCTCAGCGATTAACAATTTTAAAACCAAATATTATGTCTTTTATATGAGATAAAGCGCTGAGCAGATGTACCACAGAGATAGAAGGAAATCTGTCTTTGTTTATTTATTCTATTATACATGATAATATTGTGTTTTACGTTGCCTGGAATCATACACACAGTCTGCATGGGGTTCAGAATGATGAAATGTGAGGGCCATTGCCATAGAGATAAACAATTTAAAACCAAATATTATGTCTTTTTATATGGGATAAAACGCCGAGCAGATGTACCACAGAGATAGAAGTAAATCTGACCTTGTTTATGTATTCTATTACACATGATAATATGGGGTTTTGCATGATCCACACACTATATATGGGTTTCAGAATGATGAAAAATTTAGATCGTTGCCAAAGCGATTTAGCCAGGCTGGCGCCACCTAGTGTCTCCACTCAGTTTCAGTTCTCTCCAGCGACTGGGTCAGGAATCGGAATACACTAGACCAGGGCCCTCCAACCTGTAGCTCAGGAGCTACCAGTAACTCTCCACCCCCTTCCAAGTAGCTCGCCAATGGATTTCTGAATTACACATAATAGCTCAAATTTAATGAATTAAATGCCTATTATTATTGTAAATCCATCATTCATGAATAAATAATGGTTTATGTTTTATCTAACTGTACCCCGTCTAAGTCTTGCCATGGCTCTTTGCATACTTTATTTCTCGTGACTGCTAAAATTAGTAGCTCTCTGGCATTTTCGTTTTGTAAAGGTAGTTGCAAGAACCCCAGAAGTTGTAGACCACGCACCAGCCAATCAGTGAAGAGCTGTGAAGCCACGACGTTAAACTCAAGAGTCTGGGTCCCTTTTGTGGTACAGCACAACAGTAAACAAAGTGGTCAAGATGGACAAAGAGAATGTTTGGTAAATTTTACATATGTCATAACCAAATAGCAGCAATTGGTAAAATAAAAAAAATACACTCCTACCGTTGAGCGTACGAATCCTAATGCTGCGAGGTCAGACGGTTTCCAAGAAGTGAAACCAGCTGATGAATCAGGCTTATAGCGATTAACAATTTAAAACAAAATACATGTTCTGTATGTGAAAAGTCCTCAAAATCTAACTAGAAGTAGAACCCATGAATAGAAAATGATGCCTGTCTCAGAATGTTCAAAACACATGATCAATAATTAACTGACATCAGACCTAAATGCTAATGATTTTAAGCTTGAAAAATAAGTGAAAAATAAACATATCTTTTTCATTTCCAGGTTAGAAATTAAGTTGTATTTTATAAACTGTTGCATATGTTTTAAAACTGAGCTCTGATATCAGTCCATGAAGCATTTTGTGTTGTATTATGTGATATTCTGTGATTAATCCCAATTTCTCCATTTAAATTACACTGCTGGGCCATCATAAGTTGATAAAGACCAACCCCAACTCGGCTCCATTTGGTCTTAGAGCTCAAAAACTCCCTAATTAAGAAAACCTATTGGCAAAATTATGTAATTGTAAATTTTAAGGTACTGCAACAGCATAAATGGTCAAAAACTACCAGAAAAAAATATTCTGGGGCTTGCTGCCTTTCTACTGTCAAATCTTACCCTCAGCATACCCCAAAAGACAAAAAAAATGTCTGTCTGACAAATTGCCATCAAAAGTGATCATTTTCAAGCATTTTATGGCATATATCACTGCTTCAAATATACATGAAAAACTCCCCAAGTTTATAAGCTTCAGTTTAAGTCCAAGATGACCTTTGTGTCTAGAGGAAAATAGCTTTCAGGCATTACCATTTCATATGGGATTAAGAATATTTTTTCATAGAAACAGTATTTTAACAGAGTTGATGTACTGCTTATGTACTGCTATACTTTATGAAGTGAATTACATCAGAAATGAATAATATTAACACCCCAGATGGACAGGGGTAAGGGTACAAGATAAAATTATGCTCATTGTCTGTTGCATCTTTTCATATCATCTTAATCCCATTTATTCAGTTACAATTGTTTAAATAAAAGTCACATCAAAAAAGTACAGTACATTATTACTATGAGCTGCTTGTCTCCCAAATATATTGATGCTTTGCGGTGACATACTGAGGTTGTTCTACATGTATTTCTATGGTGAAATGTTCAGCAGTTGCCATGTACACACAGTGAACAAATTAACAACCTCTCTAAAAAAAAGATTCAAGATAGTCTGAAAACTCAAGAAAAAATACAGTACATTTTTAGGAGCCTGTGATTAATTTGAGCGTTCGTGGTCGTGTTTAGGTGTTTGATTTTTAACAAAAAAAAGTGAGTCACTAACTGAAAAACAGTTGGCTAGTACTAACTATCTTGTGACTGTAATTTTAAGTGTGAGGGACTTTTTTAACAGCACAAATCAGCTCTCCTGTTGTAGGAGTCTGTTATTTATGCTCAGACTGTGATAAAACAAAACTCAGATTAAAGTCTAACAGAGCTTCAGACAGAGCAGTGTAACCCAGTAGAGTAAATGTGCCATATTTTATTTAAATACACTCATTTTATTTTGAAAAACGTTTATTTTGGTAAGAGGAAGTGTGATCCTCTCGCTCTCTCTTGACTTCCTGTTTGTCAGTCACGTTGGGTGATAATGACCTTCTTATTTGTTGAGAATAATTAAGACCCGCCTTCTCAAGACGCGATCTCAGAGTTAAGTTAGTTCTTCGTTCTTTTACGCTCTGGACGCAGATGCGAGAGGCTGTGTGTGATGACCACTTTTGTTTTTGCTAAGCTAAATGATTATTTCGGTGAGTGTATGTAAATAGAATTTGATGTAAATATGGTACGAGATTTAAATGCTAACAGGGAAATGTTTATATGCTATTTTTAAGTTGAATCCATGTGTGAACCTGAAGGGCTGTGACGGTGTCTGTCCCATGTTCATGCTAACACATCATCTTGGTGAGTCTACACGTGTTACCGATCTAATATGGTGAAAAATATGCTAGCGCGATGCTAATCGCGATGCTAACGCTAATCGCGAGTGGTAAACTACTACTTGAAATCAATGTAAAAACAATCTGTACTTGTTTTATTGTAATCTAAAGTGATATTTCAGATGACAACAAAGGTCACTACACTTTTATTTAATTTCACCCTGTTTTATGGTGAAATGTAACACTAATTTGGTGTTTTATGTAAAAGAAAGTAATTCAATGTTAAACCAGCAAGGGTTTACAGATTCAGTGGAAGTATAGAGATACTATTATCTGTTTGATAATACAAATAATTGATTGATTTTCATTTATAAAAGCTTAAATAAGGTTTAAAAGGTAATAATTTAATTGGATTAAAATATTAATAAAAGATGTCATGGTTAATATGTTCAAAAAGATTAAAAGAACAATTCATTTTATTGTTATTACATGGGTTAAAAACAAATTCATGTGCAGCAATGATAGATTTGAATTAACAGAAATGAACACATACATGTATGTTCTGATATAACTATGGAGTTATATTATTTGATATTTTGAGTAAAAAAAAACAAAAACAAAGCTATAGCTACTTGATTGTGAGAATAAATTAATGGAATTGGATTTCAAATAGCCGTATACTATAATACTGTTATTGTTGTACAGGCTAGGTTTTTTGTGTGTGTGACGATTAAGAAGACAAAGACAAGACTGGATCTGGATTCTTCTTTGGAGGAAACGGCGAGCCTGTCCCAGAACCCAGAACTGAGAGCAACCTTCCTCTCTGCTCTTCTTATCGAACTCATCACGTTGTAACCACTCAAACTACCACAGCGAGGATCCTGTTGGAACATTGACTTTGACTATACTGACTGAATATACTGAGCTCAGTAGGACTAAGGGTGAATTATGCACAATTGCACAACTGAATGTAAACATAGATTGCCGGCTGTTCATTTGTAACAAATTTTATAATTTTTGTTTTTATTTAAATTTTCTATCCAATACAAATCAAGCTTGCTCAATCTCTGTCTCCAGCCATCTCATTTACTCTCGCACTATTATTCCTATTGTAGTCCTTGAGAACCTAGTGCCTGGACCAAACTACTAGATTACTTTATTATACTATTCTCGAGTCAGGGGTTACAGCAGCGTCTACAGTCAGCTTCACATCACCAGGAAATGATATCAGCTGCAAAGTATCACTACATTTAATAACATTCTGTGGAATATTCCAGATAAAGAAATAACATCTCCATGGAGACAAGCAGGAAAGGTTACATAGTGTACCTTTAACTCCACACAGTATGAGAATTGAATCTAATACTTACTTAGAGCCTGTTTACACGAGAACGTTTGCGGGTAAACGGTAAATGGTCAAATTTTTTATAGCGCTTTTCCACCTTCAAGGCACTCAAAGCACTTTACAACAAGGAACCACTCACCCATTCACACACACATTCACACACCAGTGTACGCAGACACTGTGGGCAAGGTGGGTTAAGTGTCTTGCCCAAGGACACAACGACAGCATTCATCTGTGGGAGCTGGAATCACACCAGCCAACCTGTGGGTCAGTGGATCTGACCGCTCAACCTGTGATGTTTATGTCGAGAGCTGGAATCAAACCGCTAACCTTCAGATCAGTGGTGACGGTGTTTTTGGAGCTTAAAAACACAAAAATCTGAAACGACCCTCCAGAGTGGAAAAGTTGAATACGCTCTGCTGTAGTGTTTCTGTCTGCACTGCCCAAGACGCAAAACTCTGCTCACGTCATGTACTCCTTTATGTCACATACATACGGACTGGCATGTATCGAATTCCGCACACTTTTGCGTCACTGTATGCACGCAGATTTCCTCCCGACAATGCTCGTCTAAACACAAAATAAAAACTGAAGACCCAATGCCACTTTCTTCTATTCAGACCGTTATCACATAAACGTAGCCTTAGACTCAGACTTACTGACATATTGATCCACAAGGGAAATTATTTGGACACATGAGCTCACACATCACAATATACTAACAATAACAAAGAGCAAAAATATAAATGATAATAATAAATTCAAAATAAAATAAAAATCCCAAAAGACTAGTGTCAAATAAGACATAGTTACACAAATGTATATATGTATACTACCGGTCAAAATTTTAGAACACCACACTTTTTCTATTTTTTTACTGTTTACTGTTGACTAGGGGTATAACGATATTCAAGTCTCAAGATATGGTCACTGTTTGAACCTCACGGTACGATATTTATTGCGATATCGTGGGGAAGCTCACGATATGGTGGGGAGGCTCACGATTAGGGATGTAACAATATCCAAATCTCTCAATACGATATTTTCATGATATACATCTCACAGTACGATATTTATTGCGATATTTTGTGGAGACACTTTTTTCTCTTAAAATGCCTTGACAAGACTTAATCCAAAGAACTAAGACGTAAAAGTGCTTAAAACTGTTATTTCTTCTTGTAGTCTACACTGAAATGGAGCAAAGGATCATGGTCTATGTAGTTCTCTCTCTTTTTTTTTTTTGGCTATTGCTGCACCATAACGCTGAATTTAAGCAAAGAGACTTGCAATTCGATATATTGTGAGACCTCTGACGATATGATATCACAATATTTCTGTTATTGTTACATCCCTACTGTTGACCAAAATATATTCTAAACTTTTGATTCATGAAAGTGTCCACCTTTGGCAGATATAACAGCTGAACACACTCGTGGCTCGTTCTTTTTACAATAGAAATCAAATATTCTTCAGAAAGTTCTTCCCAAATCTGTTGCAGAAGTTCCCATAAATGTGTGGCACTTGTAGGTTTCTTGACTTTCACTCTTCTGTCCAGTTCATCTCAAAACCAGCTCGATGGGGTTTAAGTCTGGAGACTGTGCTGGACACTCCATGTTTTCAAGCTTTACCATCTTGTTCTTTTTTCCTGAGTTAGTTTCGGCAGAGCTTGGACTTGTGTTTTGTGTCTTTTTTTTTTTTTTTTTTAACCTCTGTCTGTTCAGTATTTACCTTTGAACCATTTCAAATCTATTCATTGGACTTGCACGACTTGAATTGCAATAAATAACTGGAAAAATGAGGGTGCTCTAAAACTTTTGACCGGTAGTGTTTATAGAAATATAGTAATACAAATCTATCTCAGCGATATACAAGAGGTCGTAAGAAGAAACAAAGATGACATAGTGACTGACATGACATCTATAAAGAGTATGGAATGAATATAGTCTTGTGTCTCTCACTGTTGGAGAATCTATACTCATGTGCAGTGGGTGAGAAGTGAATAACACACAAAACCAAACATATGACCCAGGGCCGGTCTTGTTTACAGATCTGGCAGTGCGGGGGCTCTCTGGAGATCGTCACCTGCTCTCACGTCGGCCATGTTTTCCGCAAAGCCACTCCGTACAGTTTCCCCGGAGGCACTGGGCAAGTCATCAACAAGAACAACAGACGCCTGGCCGAAGTCTGGATGGATGAGTTCAAAGACTTCTTCTACATTATATCTCCAGGTACAAGCCTCCAACAGTCATTATATTTACACACATGGGGCTGGGTATATGTGCAGGAAAGGCATGTAAGACAGTATTTCCAGTGTCCAGGGAGTACTGTTGGGCAAGTTACTTCAAAACTATAATGTGTTATTTGTTACTTGTTGCTGTCATTTCAAAGTCATTTGTTACATTACAATATTACTGCTTTTAAAATATAAGGTGTTACACGACTATTGCAGCACTTTTAAGTTACTCTCGCCAAAATAACAAAGATGCTGAACTTTTATATGTATGTATATGGACTGAATAGGACTAAACCAAAGTCTAAACCAGGTCTAAACCAGGACTAAACAAGGTCTAAACCACGACTAAACCAGGTCTAAACCAGGACTAAACCAGGAATAAACCAGAACTAAACCAGGTCTAAACCAGGTCTAAACCAGGTCTAAACCAGGACTAAACCAGGTCTAAACCAGGTCTAAACCAGGTCTAAACCAGGAATAAACCAGGAATAAACCAGAATTAAATCAGGACTAAACCAGGTCTAAATCAGGTCTAAACCAGGTCTAAACAAGGACTAAACTATGACTAAACCAGGTCTAAACCAGGACTAAACTATGACTAAACCAGGACTAAACCAGGTCTAAACCAGAACTGAAACAGGACTAAAACAGGACTAAAATAGGTCTAAACCAGAACTAAAACAGGACTAAAACAAGACTAAAATTAAAGCCGCAAGCGGCGTCGAACGGCTCTTGCCCGCCGCGCCCGCGAACGCCGTGCCCGCAAATAGTGTGCCCCACCAACACCATACCGTAAACGCCGTGTCCGCAAACTCTGTGCCTGCAAATGGCAAAATGACATAGTGCGCCTTTAGATGTTCTTTGCACCCCCTACTGGCCAACCTTGAAAAATTCCCATGTCAGCAATATATGTTTTTTCTTCTAGTCATTAATAGAATTGAATTCCCAAATTTGGTGCAGATCCGACAATGTTGACGTTTCATGTCTATGGTAGGGGGCGCTATAGTGTTTTTTCATATGTTTTATAGTGTATTATATTCAGACTGAGATCACACATTAGTGATTCAAATTTCAACACGATCGGACTAAGTATGTGGGAACAGGAGCAAATAATGTCACCTTGAAATTCGCCAAAACTTTGACCAAATTTTGCAGCTTCGCCGCACGTAAACCGTGACAGTTATCAAAAAAAAATCAGCTAACTTTAGATGTTCCACTTCTCTAGATGATGTACGGTGATTTTTAGCCCTGTGGGTGAAGCGCCTTCAGAGGCGTTCGTTCAAACGCAATGTGAACGAAAATGCGGACTGAAACTTCAATCCAAGATGACCGCCTTCTGGTTTGTCAGGGGGCGTGGCCATAATAAAAAGTTTTTGTTTGTCTTGACATGACAAATGAATGTAGCGAATTTCATGGCTCTACGACAAAGTTGACCGGGACGTATCCCATAGGAGCCAAATTTTTGAGTCTTTGCGCCCCTGCTGGCCAACAGTGAAAATGGTATCATGTCCATAATATAATTTTTTGCTCATAATCATGCATAGAATTTAATTCCCAAATTTGGTGCAGATTTGACTATGTTGACGTTTCATGTCTATGGTAGGGGGCGCTATAGTGTTCACTTTTCATATGTTTTATAGTGTATTATATTCAGACTGAGATCACACATTAGTGATTCAAATTTCAGCATGATGGGACTAAGCATGTGCGTGTAATATATTTTTAAATATTTTTGGGAGGAGTTTTAGCGCCCCTGCTGGCGAACAGTGAAAAATTCGCCATGTCCATAATATACTTTTTTGCTCATAATTACGCATAGAATTGAATTACCAAATTTGGTGCAGATCTGACTATGTTGATGTTTCATGTCTATGGTAGGGGGCGCTATAGTGTTCACTTTTCATATGTGTTATAGTGTATTATATTCAGACTGAGATCACACATTAGTGATTCAAATTTCTGCACGATCGGACTAAGTCTGTGTGAACAGGAGCAAATAATGTCATCTTGACCAAATTTTGCGGCTTCGCCGCACGTAAACCGTTAGTTATCAAAAAAAATCAGCTAACTTTAGATGTTCCACTTCTCTAGATGATGTACGGTGATTTTCAGCCCTGTGGGTGAAGCGCCTTCAGAGGAGTTCGTTCCAACGCAACGTCAGCGAAAACGCGGACTCAAATTTCAATCCAAGATGGCCGCCTTCTGGTGTGTCAGGGGGCGTGGCCATAATAATATTTTTTGTTTGTCTTGACATGACGAATGTATGTACCGAATTTCGTGGCTGTATGACAAAGTTGACCGGGACATCTCCCATAGGCGCGAAATTTTTGCGTTTTCCAGGTGGCGCTGTGTCGCCATTTTTTTAAGCCCGTGCACGAAACCTATATTTTATCGAATTTTTCGCCACTTCTGAATATTGTGCCAAGTTTGGTGAGTTTTTGAACGTGTTTAGGGGGTCAAATTAGAGCTCAAAGAGCAGAAGAAATAAAAATAAAAATAATAATAATTTTAGCAAAAACAATATATCCGAAAACATTAGAACAACATATTATACATTTTTTGAAAGCTCTCGACCTTCCCCACGTCACCGTGGGGTCATTGGTGAGTGACGGGCGCGTCTGGACCATCTCGTCGCGGTCGGCCCTCGACCTCCCATTGACTTCCATTCATTTTAGCAGTAGTAAATATGAGCCAGACCTTGGGCGTGGGTTACTGGGATACTGCTGTTCGTGCCGGGGGCGACCGTGGACATAGTTGCATGTCGTCTTGTCGCATTCGGACATGCGCACGTCCCTTCCCATTTGCTCCGCTGAGCGGAAGCAATAGGCCCTACGCCCTGTCGGGGCTTGGGCCTAATAATAATTTGAGCAAAAACAATATATCCGAAAACTTTAGAACAACATATTATACGTTTTTTGAAAGCTCTCGACCTTCCCCACGTCACCGTGGGGTCACTGGTGAGTGACGGGCACTGACGCGCTCGTCATTCGCCATCTCGTCGAGGTCACCCATCGCCTTCCATTGACTTCCATTCATTTTAGCAGTAGTAAATATGAGCCAGACCTTGGGCGTGGGTTACTGGGATACTGCTGTTCGTGCCGGGGGCGACCGTGGACATAGTTGCATGTCGTCTTGTCGCATTCGGACATGCGCACGTCCCTTCCCATTTGCTCCGCTGAGCGGAAGCAATAGGCCCTACGCCCTGTCGGGGCTCGGGCCTAATAATAAAAAAATAATAATAATAATTCGAGCAAAAACAATATATCCGAAAACATTAGAACAACATATTATACGTTTTTTGAAAGCTCTCGACCTTCCCCACGTCACCGTGGGGTCATTGGTGAGTGACGGGCGCGTCTGGACCATCTCGCTGGGGTCGCCCCCCGACCTCCCATTGACTTCCATTCATTTTAGCAGTAGTAAATATGAGCCAGGCCTTGGGCGTGGGTTACTGGGATACTGCTGTTTGTGCCGGGGGCGACCGTGGACATAGTTGCATGTCGTCTTGTCGCATTGGGACATGCGCACATCGCTCCACATTCGCTCCGCTGAGCGGAAGCAATAGGCCCTACGCCCTGTCGGGGCTCGGGCCTAATAAAGAAACCGACGAAGAACAATACCCCTCGCCCCTAACTTTGTTAGTGGCGAGGGCCAATAAAAGAGCGGAAGAAACCGAGCGAAAACAATACCCCTCGCCCCTCATCAAGAAGAAAATCTACTGGCCATTAAAACACAAAAGGTTTTAGAAAATAGGAGCCCTTTACCCCCCTTAGTTATCTCAAAGTGACACTGATGATATTGTAGGGGATAAAAGTGGTACATAAATGCTGAATGAGCTCGCTGTAATTGTCGCTTTCAGGGGATAGGAGCATAAATATAGTTAAGACTTTTGTCTTCGTAAAGAACGACTAGTGAAATACTATGCATTTTAAGAAGTCCTTTATTTGCAATGTCCCATTAACTCATCGTTCCAGTTTCAGATGCAAAGAAGCATTATTTTCTTAAATAAAGAAAGCAAAAAAAGTATTTACAAAAAAAATCCCAATAAAACTAATAATCAATGGATTATCTAAAGCACCTCTCTGCATCTGGACAACAATGCTTTCTGCGGAAAAGGATACACTGCAATTACATCGGCAATTTATTGTTTCTGAAAAATAAAACTAAAAAAATCTTTATATATTTACAGAAGTGTCCTGAAATAGTTTCTACCTCTAGAAGAAAAGGCTATCAGATCATTTCTGTTTTTAATGTATATATCTCATCAAGTCAATTTCTGTATGTTTCAAGTTTTAATGATTGGCCAAAACAGCAGCGGCTTTATAGTCTTTAGTCTTTGTCCGACTCCTCTTCTGCCTCACGGAGCCAGGTGAAGAATGCTGTGACAGACTTCAAGGCCACACCTTTGCCCGTCTGCTCTGCTGGGTCTTTACTGGACTCCCATTTGTAAAAGGCCTCCTCTTTAATCACATCCTCATCATACAAGGCATCGAAGAACATGCGTAGCAGGTCTAGAGAAGAAGTTCAACATTGAATTCATATGTAAATGAAAAACAAACTTTAAGGGGCTGTACCATAGACTATTAAAAAAAAAGGGGGACTAAGCGAGTATGATATCACCCATAGCATTCAGCACCACTCAAATGAAGCTTGTGATGCTAACTGTTACAGGAGCGACTTTGGAGACAGGCTCTATATTATGAATAGGATTTCCTAGGGGCCACAATATTGTAATGTAAATCAATGGGAGCCAGGGTCAGTAAGAGAACAAGACCCCGTATGCTCACTTCCTATTTGGAATGAAGCGTCTAGTGCAGGGATGTCAAACTGAGATTTACAGAGGGCCAAAATTAAAAACTGGAACTAAGTTGTGAGCCAAACTAAATACTTATTGTAAAATTTTAACATCTGCATGTTTTCTCTTCTTTCGAGATATGTAATGTTAAACCTTTTCTTATTAACATAAATGTTTAATAATAGTTTTGCTTAAACATTGAATGCAGAACAAGCATAATATAAAATAAAAATTAAATTTGAAATAATGTCTCTATAGCCTATCTGTAGGCGGCGGTCCAGCTCTAATACATATTTGATATGATCTCGTGGGCCAAATATAATTATAATGCGGGCCAAATTTGGCCTCCGGGCCCAAGTTTGACATGTCTGGTCTAGTGCATTAGCTATGTCCATTTACAAATAGCCTATGGGCTGTACACAATTTTTTTTCATGTAAAATGTTTTGTCCTAATACAGGTAAATATTATATAGTAAATATTAATATTGTCAAAGCAGCTCTTGAAACTGCTGTGTGCTGTCTAATTACCTCCGCCAAGGAGGTTATGTTTTTGCCGGCGTTTGTTTGTCTCTTTGCAACATAACTCAAAAAGTTATGGACCGATTTTGATGAAATTTTCAGGATTTGTTGGAAATCTGAAAAGGAAGAACTGATTTCATTTTGGGGGTGATCCGGAAGAAATTCTGGATTCTGGATCACTTTGAAATTTTAGTTAACATTGTGGTAAATGGGGCCAAAAATTTTGTTTCTCAATATCTCCGTTAATTATTGACCAAACCCCATGAAATTTGACTCAGGGATGGACAATGGGATCCTCTTATTCCAAAGGCTGATCCGGATCTGATCCAGAAGACTGAGTTTATCGCAATTTATATAAAAAATGGGGGTAGTCCTTGGCGGAGGTCTGCGCTCTCTGAGTGCTTTTCTAGTTATGAGTTAGTTATGTGTTTTCATCAGTAACAAACCAGGATGAAACAACGGTGTGCTGCTGTTAACCAAGAAGTTAGGAATTCAAACCGCTTGAAATGAACTATTTCTGTTTTTAAAACTCTAACATCAGGTACAGTGTTTTAACTAAAACAATTTGGTAAACACTAAATCAAATAGTTTTCGATATTTGTTTCTTATAGATGTTTATTCCTACTTACTTGCAGGCTGTTCCATGTGTACCATTAGTGCTTGAAGGGCATAAAGGGCCTGCAGCTCTTTCTGTTCATCATAAAGATATCTCTGCAACAAGCTGGCTCTTTGACCAATCTGCTCTGCGTCCACTTTGTACGGGTTATCACCTATGAAAAGAGAATACCCACATTAAACTCATGCAAAAATTAAAAATCATTCCACTTGTGATTACTGCTTACAGATGATGGCAGACTGACAGACTGATGTCATCAATGCACGAATGAACAGGTTTGATGCGGTCTGCTGTTCGTCCAGATTGGCCTGTTTAAAAAAAAAACAAAAAAAACTTGAATATTGAAGTTTTGGTCCATAAAAACACCAGAATGAGTCCAATTACACACCTCAATCCAGTCACGGATGCGCTGGTTGTCAGCTTTGTCCTGAAGGAGTCTTTCCAGTTGTTTGCTAAGCTCCTCTCCAGTGAAAACTTTTTTATTGCTGTCTTTTGATGCCACCTCTTCTCCTAAGGTATACTCCAGTTTCTAAAATACATCAAAAAATTTTAAACAATTCTATAATTTCTAATTTAGTTTAACAAACCTGTAATACTACAAACCTGATCTGTTACAAATTTGTTAACATCTTCATCACTGGGCAGAAAGTCCTTCCAGTTCAACCCAGCTTCGGTCCACATAGCCCCAACTTTCTTGGGGGTCTAAAATTTTAAAAATAATTCCCTGTCATAGTTTACCAATGGAATTACAGAACTGTATATAAAACTGGTGTCACCTACCATTCCTTTACAAAGCATGTTTAAGATTTGTACCAGGAGCACACCCGCCTTCCCAAGAGGCACTAGAGGCTTTGAAATCTCCCTAAAATCAAATGAAAAAGTATACTCATTTTACATGTGACAATCGTAAATTGGTGATGAGCTGATAAAAGACAAAATTGTACTTACCTGAAGAGCTGTCCCATAGAGAGCCCACCTTCGTGTAACATAGGGGTGATGAGCTCAGCCAGGTAAAGCCAGATGTGAGGTATATCTATTTCCATATCCTCTGCCACTTCTAAGATCTCATGCAGCCTACAGCATCATAGTTTCGTCATTTTTAAAATTATTAAATTACATACAATTCTAGGAAAGTGTCCCCCAAAGGAGCCCAAAGGAGCCCAAAGCTCACCCTTTGTAGTATTGCTGCGGAGGCAGATTCCCGGCCTTGATCAGCTGATGCAGCAGCAGTCCCATGTGCTCCCGGGCAATGGTGCTGCGATCAAGTGTCGATTCCAAACCGACCCGTACAAAGACAAAAAGCAGGGAGGCACTGTTCAGCTCCGCAACGCACTGTAATGCTTCCTGCAAGACAGAGGGGGGAAAAAACACAATGGTGTGAGTTTATTTCATTATTTATTTGAGTACAATTATTGAAAGTTTTTTTAAGCTCCTCATTTACCTTCAAGTCATTAATATGGAGGTATTCTTCAATTATGGCATTTGACTTCTTCTCTAACTCTTCTTCAGACAAAGCAGGTTTAGATGGAGGTGGCGTTGGGGCACTTTCACGCTTAACTAATATGACAATTAAAATCCAGAATTAGGCTACTCTGATTAGACAGCCTCCCACAAAAATATTTTCCAAGTCAAAATAAATACAAAAATGCTAACCTGAATGTATGTCTTTACTTGAAGCACGATCTTTGCTGCCCCTGTCACGGCTCCCTCGGTCGCGGCTGCCCCTGTCGCGGCTGCCCCTGTCGCGGCTGCCCCTGTCTCGATCGTCTGTCATGCTGGCCACACGACGAACAGAATCCACAGCACTGCGTCCCTCTCCTCCTCGGCTGCGCTCCTGGGATTCTCGACTGAAGCTTCTCTTTGTGATTTCAGGGCGGTTGCTCCTGTCACCATCACCTCCTTCCCTCCGATCAAAGCGGTCAAAACGATCTCTGTCACCAACCCCTCGTTCCCGACTGGAGCTTGACCTAAAAAAAATTTAAATTCAAATATTAATTAATGGTAAGCAAATGTGTTTGGCTCAAACTAGCTACTGAAAGCAATGAGGAGACACAGTAACACAATAACAATAGTAGTCAATGTGAATACCTCTGAGGAACTCGGCGATCAAACTCTGATGAAGACCCAGACTGCAGGGCTGAGAAACGGTTCAGTGTGCTAGTGGCAGGACGACTTGAATCTAAACATAAGTGAAGACATGATTAATAAAAGTAATGTGGCTTTCTCAAACTCGCAATCTTTGTTTTATATTTTACCCTGTTCTCCACTGGATGGTTTAGTTCCACTTCCTCCACTGCAACCTTTTCCCCAGCTACCCCACATCCCTTTACCACCTGGAGCCAACAACTGATTGTTAAAGTCCATCGCACCAGGCTACAAAAAAAAACAAGATATGTGCATATATGAGAAAAACAAAAAAAAACAATGTATAACCAAATCATATGCAAGTGTAGATGACAGGCTTCATGTTACCTTCGTGATTTTGCTCAGACGGGTGGTGTCAATAGGTCTGTTCTTGGAAATGGGGACAGTGTTCCATCCTTCGTCCTGGGTTTGGCTGGTCCTGCCTCCCCCGGGAGTGTGAGGACCTCGGCCACCCATGCTCATTCTGCCTCCGCCCTCCTTCTTGGATAGAAGCTGCTGCTGGACCTTTATCTGCTCCCTGTGCTCCTCCAGCTCTGCCTCCTTGTGGATCTGGTCAATTGTTTTAGGTCCCTGGTCTGCTCTTCTAGGCACCCAGTTGCTCTACAGTGGAAAATGGTCACATTTTAATATAGCACTTTCCCACCTTCAAGGCTCTCAAAGCACTTTACAACAAGGAACCACTCAACCATTCATACGCACACATTCATACACCAGTGTAAGCAGACATTAGGGGCAAAATGAGTCAAGTGTCTTGCCCAAGGACATAACGGCAGCATTCATCTACATGAGCTGGAATCACACCAGGCACACCAGCTCAACCAATGAGGTTTATGTTGAGAGCGGGATTCGAGCCGCCAATCTTTGGATCAGTGGACAAATGCTCTACCATCTGAGCTACTGTCGCCCCACTTTTAAAGTTGCCAATGAGAAATGTGATCTACTACATCTCAAATCAAACAATCAATACCCTTCTGAGGTCCAAGACATCTTGCAGTATGAAACAAATTCTTGACGAGGTCTTTCTCTCCTTTATGATTTTGTCCATTTGGTTAAAATACTGGTCCATGCGGGGCTAGAAAAAATAACTTTAATGAAATGCAAGTTTAAATTTCAAAGTTCAAGGTTAAAGATGTAAATATGTTCTCTTTAGTTTCTAAATACCAAGATCACCGAGATTCATTGGCCCAGACAGGTGATGCAAAATTAATGGTCATCAACAGAGGTTGTTTATATGTTAAAAAGGTATTTATGTTCACATGTACCTTTGCCTTTTCAAAGTCCAGGTCTTTGCCGATTGTAGACAACAACCTGCATAGACACTCAAGAGATTCTTCATCGTGATTCTTCAATAGTTTTACAACACAGTCGTGCATAATGGCTTCTGTCAACATTTTCAGTTTGAAAAGCTCGCCAATGAACTTGATGTTTCCCAGTGATCGCCGTCGGGCCTTATCTCTGGCTTCCTCTAGCTCCGCTTTCAAACGATCACATTCTTCACCCTGAGAAATGCAGGCAATTGTTATTAGAACCTTCCATGTTTCATTGAATACATTTTACAATTATTGAACCACTTACTTCTTTTGCAGCATCCAATTCTTTCTGTTTTTTCTCAAATATTTCATCATCTTGATCCTTTTCAAATTCCTTTTGACAGCGATTTTGCAGAAGTTTGCGAAAGTTTGCGGTAGCTCCTGGCTTTTCTGCAGTAGGGACTTTTAACTGTAGTGAATAAAAATACATAATTTAAGGTGATGATGGACATGGCCCAAGATGGTATTGAGTAAAAAGCCGACATATGATTTGACACATCATAGCTATCACTTAAGCATATTTAAGCAAATTTGTAAAATATAAGTTACATGTAAAATAAATTGTGCAAAGGCTACTTAGGTCATGTCATTCTTCAAGAAAACAGTTCAAAGCGACTTACCCCCCTGAGGCAACGACACATGTTGGCATAAACTACAGAAAAGTTGGGCTCCATGATGGCTTTTTCAAAGATGAGATCAGTGGCTCCTTTCAGTCTCTCCTCAGTGTCTATCGGCAGTTCTTGCACTTGCTTCGTCAGCTCTTGAAACTTCTGAGGGGTCAGTTTGTTGAGGATACTACACAGTCTGTTCAACACCTCTTGAGTCTTGATTTGTTCAGCATCCTCCTCTTCAGCCTCGTCTCCACGGCCACGTGACATGGACTTTTTCAAAGATGGTTTCCAAGCTTTTTCAGCCTTGTTCAGCTGAATGTCCTCATTCATGCTACTAATGATTTTCCTAGGTTCCTTTCGCTGACCTTGCTGAGAACGCCGAGGTCCTGGAGGCTATTTAAAAAAAAATAAAAAATTAACTCACCATATTACATATTTTTACTTAAAGAATTTTCAATTATTACCGGGCCTCGTGGTCCTCCCACTGATCTGCTTCCTAAGTTACCCAAATATGAGGGAGTGAAATCAGTACCAACATTCACTAGTCGACCCGGGTCCGCAGGACGCAGTGGAGTCTTATTCACCTAAAGATGGACCAAAAAAAAAAAAAACTTTCAGATTTATGACAACCAAATAGACAGAAGTAGTTCAGTACACAAACTGCTTCTTCAGATCCTCAAACCCATCATAGATATTCAGTGGCCCAAACACGTGGCACAAAACAAAAGTCATCACTGAAGCAGGATACAGTTCAGAGGCCATTAACAGTCTACAACTGCTAAGTGATCTATGTCCATCCACAACTTAATCAGGGATGAAAAACACTAATGTAATATGATTATAGTAACATACCTTATCAAGAACAACATCACTGATGAGTGGCAGGCCTTCTGGTTTGTGCATACTGGCACTGCTGAACTGGAATCCCAGCAAAAACTCCCTATCGTACCGCTTCTTTGCTTCTGGATTAATGGGTTTCCATTGCCCCACAGCTGGGGCAGTTTCAGCCTGAACAACCACAGGCTCAGGAAGGGGTTTGGTATCCTTCTGCTGGATGGAAAGAAAAGATTTTTAAATGGTGACCAATTTGTCCTTGTTTCACACCACAATTTTTATGTCTGTCAATTCATCACAAAGCCACACACCTCTGTAAAGGCGTCTAGAATAGTCCCAAAGTCCTTCTTGTCAAGCTCTTTCATGCTCTTCTTTTTCTTTGTTTTTATAGCTGCTACATCTGTACCACATTAAAAACAGATTAGCTATGAAACAATTCACTCAATTCCTCAAGCAAAACCATGACCTGCTCCGTTTTCTGATAAAACTGCAAACCTGAAATGAAGGTTTTTGGACAATTGTATTTTTGAGTTGTAGATTTTGTTACTTGTTCATGAATATAAAAGATAAAAAGCCATTTGATGATGATTATTATGAGAGTATTTGTACTTCTCATGGTTAATATAAAGTCATGGTTGTGCCTGATTGTTAGAGAGCAGAGAAATACGTACCAAAACCTGGGTATTCTGCAGGACTAGTTCCTGGATAGAAACCAGCCGTTCCACTTGTCACAGGGTACTGCTGAGTGGTTGTCATGTATGGGGTCCGATACTGAAAACCAAAGGGACGTGTAGAAAATGATTACAATTATGAAGTGGCAAGAATCTTGTGCAGTGTTTGAATCAAATCACAATCAAAATGCACACCATAACCGCTCACTGTAATACTGGTTGACTTGTATTAATGCACCAAATAAGCTAAATGCCAATGTGTAATTACACAGCTCTACAATACTCTGTATAAAAGGACTCTTGTAGTGCACGTGATATCAACAATGGTCCGTAGGAGGAAGTTAAGACACTCGGGTGAAGTCTGCAGATTGTGTGAAGGAAAACTGAGGTGTGGTAATAAAAAGGTAATAAAAAGGGCCCTCGCCCCTAACTTTGTTAGTGGCGAGGGCCAATCATGGAAAATCTTTGTTAAACCACTTCTTGTGCAAAGTTCATATGAAACACAAACATAATCCTCAAAACAGCGAAAATGTCAAACGAGTTTCCTTCCACTAAACAAACAATGAAACTGTAGCTGTAACAAAATCATTTAGTAAAATAAACCAAAAATACTCTTGGTGATATATCGATAGAGCAGCCCACAATATCGATACTGTGTCATCACATTAAACGATACGATATATCGATATTTCAATATTTTTGCACACCCCTCTACTCTTTATCACACGAAGACCACAGACCATAGTTTAAGGTCATGGTTTAAGGTCAAGAGTATATTTCCTCTGTTATTTCTGGCCATTTTTGTTTTATAATTGAGTTGTTTTGTAAGTGTTGCTGTACTTACTGTTACGCAGATAAAAAGTGCGACCTACTCTGTGAAATCTACTCTGTAAAGTCTCCTCTGTGAAGTCTACTGTTTGAAATCTTTGTACGATTTGCTCTGTGTCAAGCTCAGCTAAATTTGCCTTTTCCGTTAAGCGATGTGATTTTCGATTTGTGATTTGCGATTTGCCTACTCTTATAATCTCCCCGAGGCCAAACAAAGCTTTGAGTTAAAGCCCACAAAGCTTTGAAGTTTAGCTTTGAGTTCCGGAGTTGCCATGGTAACAAGGCTTTATGGAACTTTACATGTATGATGTCATCGGCGCCGTGAACCTGATGGAACTGGGAGGTTTTCAGGTTCTAGAATGTGATGATGTCATACTCCCAGACGGGGCAAGAGCCACGTTTCCCTGTTGACTGAGGCCGAGTGTTGTTAAGAAGTCACTGATATGAGACAAACCTCGATACAGTGCGCTTTCGATTCGATACGGTTCAGTAAAAAATAAAGGCTAAATCATGGAAAATCTTTGTTAAACCACTTCTTGTGCAAAGTTCATATGAAACACAAACATTTTAATCCTCAAAACAGCGAAAATGTCAAACGAGTTTCCTTCCACTAAACAAACAACGAAACTGTAGCTGTAACAAAATCATTTAGTAAAATAAACCAAAAATACTCTTGGTGATATATCAATAGAGCAGCCCACAATATCGATACTGTGTCATCACATTAAACGATACGATATATCGATATTTCAATATTTTTGCACACCCCTCTACTCTTTATCACACGAAGACCACAGACCATAGTTTAAGGTCATGGTTTAAGGTCAAGAGTATATTTCCTCTGTTATTTCTGGCCATTTTTGTTTTATAATTGAGTTGTTTTGTAAGTGTTGCTGTACTTACTGTTACGAAGTCTCCTCTGTGAAGTCTACTGTTTGAAATCTTTGTACGATTTGCTCTGTGTCAAGCTCAGCTAAATTTGCCTTTTCCGTTAAGCGATGTGATTTTCGATTTGTGATTTGCGATTTGCCTACTCTTATAATCTCCCCGAGGCCAAACAAAGCTTTGAGTTAAAGCCCACAAAGCTTTGAAGTTTAGCTTTGAGTTCCGGAGTTGCCATGGTAACAAGGCTTTATGGAACTTTACATGTATGATGTCATCGGCGCCGTGAACCTGTTTCAGAGGAGTCATTGCGCCCCTACTGGCCAATAGTGGAAAATGCATCATGTCTGTAATAGACTTTTTTGCTTGTAATCATACATAGAATTTATGTCCCGAATTTGGTACAAATCCGATAATGTTGACGTTTCACGTCTATGCTAGGGGGCGCTATAGAGTTCACTTTTATTAAATTTCATATTTCATCACATTCAGGCCTGGATCACACAATTGTGATTTGAATTTGAGTTCTCTAGGACAATGCCTGTGGCCGTGACAGGTCACCGAAAAAACAGGAAATGAAGGCGTTATTCGCCGGCGTGCTACGGGCGAACCGTAAGGAGTATCTCAAAAAAAGTTGAAAATTTCTGTGAGTTTATGTCTGTAGATGTGACATGTCAAATCTGAGCTCATTTGGACCAAACCCCGGCGGCGAATGTTTGATCCAATATGGCCGACTTCCTGTTCGCCATAGGGTCATGCTCCAATTCATCTTTTGGTTTGTCTCATTGTTCTCTATCACTGTCCCGAATTTCGTTTCCCTGCGACAAACTATGCCTGTCCCCACTCCCATAGGGGTCCAATTCTAGGTGGCGCTGTTGAGTTGGGTCACTCGGGTCATTGTTGCGATGCCCATTTTATCGAATTTTTCGCCGGGCCGATCGATCTGGACCCCGGTTTGGGGACTTTTCGTCGATGTTCAGGGGGTCAAAAATGCGATCGTTTGGTCGGAAAAGGGAATAATAATAAAGAAACCGACGAAGAACAACACCCCTCGCCCCTAACTTTGTTTAGTGGCGAGGGCCAATAATAATAATTCGAGCAAAAACAATATATCCGAAAACATTAGAACAACATATTATACATTTTTTGAAAGCTCTCGACCTTCCCCACGTCACCGTGGGGTCATTGGTGAGTGACGGGCACTGAGGCGCTCGTCATTCACCATCTCATCGAGGTCACCCATCGCCTTCCATTGACTTCCATTCATTTTAGCAGTAGTAAATATGAGCCAGGCCTTGGGCGTGGGTTACTGGGATACTGCTGTTCGTGCTGGGGGCGACCGTGGACATAGTTGCATGTCGTCTTGTCGCATTCGGACATGCGCACGTCCCTTCCCATTCGCTCCGCTGAGCGGAAGCAATAGGCCCTACGCCCTGTCGGGGCTCGGGCCTAACAAGACTAAAACAGGACTAAAACAGGACTAAAACAGGACTAAACCAGGTCCAGCTCTGTGCGGTGCGGAGTTCTGCGCCGGTCCTTTCCTGGGTAGACTATCGGGTAATCGTGGGCGCACCTCCTGGCCCATCCCAACATTCGGGACCGTAACGATGGCATTTCAGTGCTGCTGATATCGCGGTGATTTTAGCAAATTTGTATGAAGAGGAACTAAAAACCCACCACTTCAATCCAGGTTAAAAATGTTACTGACGTTTGTACCGAGTAAAATATTTAATTTTTTTCCCTTATGCCTTACGTTACTGCGTTACAGCTAAAAGCAATGCATTATAGTAATTTGTTATTTTTATAACAAGTTACTCCCAACACTGTCAGGGAGCAGCAGTGAAGTGAGTCTTTGTGTGTCGCACGATTTCCAAACTCATATAATCAAGTTGAAACGATTAAGCAAGTTTATTTTGGGATATTTTTTTTATAAATCAGTATGTTTATTTATTTATTTTTAAAATATAGAGATTGGCTGCTCTAAGGTTCATATTTGTAGCCTATATATATATTTTCAGTTTGAAAGTTTTGCATAAATTATCAATAACAAAGAGAGAGAGAGAAATGCTGAATAAATGCATTATGTAGCTAGAAAATAATTATTTGAATAATCGTGATTTCAATATTGACCAAAATAATTGTGATAATGATTTTTTTCATAACCGAGCAGCCGTATCATGGAGACAAGCTGGTGGCAGATCCTCCACCACAAAAGTTACACAGTGAAGCTTTAAGGAATGTTGATTTGATGGGGGAGATGAAATTCATGGATGAAAGTGGCCGTGCTAACCACCGGCAGTACAATAGAACAATGAATTACATAACTCCTAATTCAGTTGAGCATAATCGCCAAAACTCATCACAGGTGCATTGTGTAACTTTTATGGAAAAGTGGCACAAGATTCAAATTTGCATAATATGGGACTTTTGGGATTTGTTTTTCAAAATCAAACCAAAAACAAGAAAACAAAAAAACAACAGTTTTCGTCATTATTTATCTCCAAAACTAAGTTGAAAAAATGGATAACGATTTGTTTTTTCCAGTTTTCAATTTTGTGTTTAAATGAATAATGGAAAAAAACGGATAATTACCATTTCCCCTTTCCGTGACTTAAACTGCGATGCCGGACTTTTGCGCAGCGTACAGACTGAAACAGGACTAAAACAGGTTGTGCCTCCAGGCCCGTCCCAACACTCCTGGTTCAGTCCTGGTTCAGTCCTGGTTTAATCCTATTTTAAGACTAAGACTGGGACCAGACCAGGACTGAGATCAGGACCAGACTGAGACCAGGACCAGGACTGAGACCGGGACTGAGACCGGGACGAGAACCTGAACTGAGACCGGGACTGAGACCAGGACAAGATCGGGACTGAGACCGAGACCAGACCAGGACAAGACCAGGACTGAAACCGGGACTAGACCAGGACCGGACTGGGACTGAGACCAGTTTAGTCCTGGTTTAGTCCTGGTTTAGACCTGGGGTCAGTCTGTATGCTGC